CTTTGCCTTGTGACATGGGGCATTATCTTGCATAAAGGTAGCCCTATCGAAACCTGAATTCTGTATGATTGGCTGTGATCTTGAACAATGTTTTTATAGGTCTCTTGGTTTACACGAGTTTGTAACCGGACAAGGGGCGTTGTACCTTGGCTAGAAAACATTCCAAATACCATGACGCTTCCGCCCCCAAACTTGACAGTTTTCTTAGTACACTTTGCACTTAATCTTTCACCAATACGTCTCTTTACATTGTTTTTTTTCCATCATTTCCAAATAAATTAAACTTGCTTTCATCACTGAAAAATACTTTTGCCCAATTTTCATATGTCCAAATTACATACCTGTTTGCAAACTCTAATCTCTTCTTATTCTTCGAACTAACAAATGGTTTCTTCCCTGGGGTACAATTAAACAGCCCTATTTCTTGCAGTCGTCTAGAAACAGTCTGTTTTGACACATTAACACATGAGGTACTATTCTTAACCCTTTTAATTTCTGTGCAAGACTTAAAACGGTCCTTTAATGACATATGCTGCATTATTCGATCTTCTCTTGCAAGTTTTATGGGGGTCTGCCGGTTTTAAAAGCACTAACTATTTTGCCAGTATCATTGTAGGATTTAACAACCCTGCCTACAACACTCTTGGAACGTTTCACTTTCTCTGAAATCTCTCTAATGGTGTGCTTTTCCTTGTGTAGCTTCACAATAGCTTGTCTCACAGAGTAATCAAGTTTTGGCGTTTCGCCATGGTGCCAGTTAATGCAACATTTACAAATGACTAAGTAAGACTTATTCTTTAGAGGAAATAAAAAAATTTGAATATAACATACTGTTTACATTGTTTTTCTCAATTTTGTCCCTTACTTTTGACGATCCTATTTTGAAAATAAATAAATAATTGTTATAATTCTTTTTCTATCCTTTGCAAATGATTCAAATTTTAGTATGTTATTATGGATGATAACGACTACTAGTTGTCAAAATTTCAGCTTTTCACAGTTATTTCTAACAAATATTAGGTTTTAAAATTTTGTCCCTTAGTTTTGGACGCTACTATATATATATATATATATAAAAAATAAATAAAATGTTATAATCCCTTATAATAATTATATATATATATATATATATATATATATATATATATATATCCTTCATGTACTACTTCTATTAAGATTTGAGAATTACACCTTTTGGATTTTATATGTTGTCAAGGAAAGTTCTTCCGCTGTGAGTGGAAGTGCTATTTGATTTAATGAAGAAGACTTTAATGAGCATGAGTAACAAAATGCTTTGGATCCTTTTTATCTGTAATGCTTTTAAAATCATTAACTCAACCTTTTCTTTTATACTGTTCTTCAAGTTTCATATTTTTACCTAAATAAACCTCATTTATAAATCTACTCTACTCGCACTCCTCCCCTACGTTTTCAATAGGACTAGAAGTTTATCCCTTGTTTCTTGTTTAGGATTGGGTTTTTGGTTCCTTCTAAAGTTTTACTTCTACATTATACTTCTAATGTCTCCAACTGAACTCTGAAATGTTATTCACTAATTCAATCTTGACCTGTTAAAATCTAGTGTTAGGTTTTATCCTTTCTGCATAGCTTGATGAACTTCACTTCTTGCTTTTTCTTATGCCAATGCAGCATCACGCAATAACCCTCTACTTGAATGGCTCTCGGGCCTTGTATTGGGGGAACATTAGTAAAAAAAAAATGTGCTTCTAATAGGATTTGAAGAAAAATTCTTCTTTCCTCTGATCTAGTTCTTTATGTGGACATCAATTGCCAAAGAGAATTGAGGTCATTCTTGGAAATCAGCAACATTTAATATTTTTTACAGTTAGTATTTACTCAATTCAGGTGTGATGAATTTCTCTCTCACTCACACACTCACACACACACACACACACACACACACACAATATTGATGTGGTAACAGGTTTTTCTTGTTTGATTTACTTTAATTTTTCTAATTTAAAACTCTCATGTTGTGGTGAGATTTTTTTATTTTCTATTTTGTTAGTAGCTTGAAATCATATTTTGCAATCTACATGAGTTGTAAATTATACTTTAAGGGATACTAATTTTATAATTATTGTAAATAATAGACAGAGCAGCAACAATTTGCAACCCCCAGAACCACATTACATACACATCATTCCATTATGGCATTTATACTTTGAAAGCAAATTATATTAATGAATATTTAAGCACACAAACTTTTTTGCAATAATAAACATCATGGTTTCTTGACATGTATTTTCTTTTTAAGTATTGCTAAGATTGTTTATTGATTTTTGTAAAATAATTCATGACCTTATTAAATAATAACAAATGATTTTACACTATAAATACATTAGAAGAATTTTTTTTCTCTGAATTACACCTGAATGTACATTTAATATAATTGTACTGGTAATAGAGCTTCAAATTTTACAACCTGTTTGGTAAGTGTAATAGCAGACAATGGAATATGTGTCACTAAAATCCAAAATGGTGAGAGATTCCTAAAAACTACACAAAGGATTAAGAAACAAGAATATTTCATTAGAAACAAAGAAAAAATTGCCGAGCCACTTTGTAATATCAACTTGTTAACTGGGGCAAGAAATGGCTTGTAAATTTTTATACCCCCAAATTGAAACTGCTATCTCTTAATCACTATAGAGAACCTTTTTTACTTTCCATCAGCCTGGATGATGTTAACCTCCAGAAGAGCAACCCATTGTGCCTTTTAGGTTGCGTATTTCCCACTAACATGAAGTGGAGAGATTATAGTGAATCTAGGTCTGCTGTTAAGAAAGTTGGTTCACTGCATCATACCAGACAATTTTTTTCATGCCAGAATCCATCTTGCATGTTTGTAAATGTACCATTCTGTGCATTGGATATTGCTATGATATCTGGTCTGGTGTACCTGCTGTATATCTTGAGATTTTCAATGAAATCCAAAGAATGTTCAGTAATGTAATTGATCCTGATCTGGCATCTTGACATCAGCCACTTTCCCATTGCCGTGATGTGACTTCCCTCTGTCTTTTCTATAGATATTTTCCTGACAATTGTTCTAATGAGCTTTCCTCTTTCATACCTCAACTGCATGAATTTAAGTGTACTACTAGATTAATAACTTCTCATCATTTTACTGTTGAATTAGCAACAAGTATCCATAAGTTCTATTCTAGTAGTTTCTTTTGTTGCATTTCTCACCTGTGGATATCTTTTCTGGTTTCTTACTTCCCTGCCATCTACAATCTTTAGAATCAAAATTTAAATGCAATGTCAAATGCCATCTTCTGTCTTCCTGAATCCTGTTTTTTTTATTGTCCTTTCTCCTTGATAGTCATCTCATCTTTCACTCCCAGTAAGCCCTTGTGTCGTAGTGGCACTATTGTCTTGCTCGGGGTGAATTGATTAAAAACAAAAATCCTCCTATATGACAGTGAATGCTTCACAATTTCTTTACAGATGAAGAAGAAACATAAAACAGCATATATGTAGTTCTATAGAAGGATGCTGAGAATTCTATGGAGAAAACACATGAGCAATGAGGAAGATATAAGGAAAAATGGAAACAAGAAGGACGTGTGCTTAGGATCAGAAAGAGACTGTTGAAACTTTGACGTCACATAATGAGGAAAGAAGTCTTGGAAAATTTGACACTTACAGAACATTGGAAACAAGAGGGGTAGAGAAAAATAGCAAGAATATGCCTAATGAGTTTGGGCAAATGAATGGTAAAACAGGGAGTCTGAGAAATAGTATGAGAACCAACATTGCTTAGAGCTGTTGTAGCTATCCTTATGATAGGAAGTTATGGAAAGACATGATCACCAACATCTTGAAAGGACATGGTACATGAAGGAAAAAAATCCTGTGTTCTGTCCACAGCACTAAACTTTCTTGGAAGGTTCATGTATTGAACCTCTAAACTTATAGCTTTGCTTTAATCATTGAGCCATTGCCTGATGTTTCTGAATGTTTAAGAGATGGGACCTGTACATAATTGGTTGTTTTAATAACTTTGCTTTTGTTAGTGAATGTCTTGATATTTGCTGGCTTCACCATGGTCTAAAGCCATCAGCTAGTGAGGTGCAGCTGTTTGCAAGGCCTACATTCAGTAGGTATTGAAGCCAAGTATACATTTTAGTGACAGATTAATGGTTGCTAGGTTTCTTTATCTAACATTACACTAATAACATTTTTTTTACATGTGTTAAGCTGCTTTTTTTACTGTTAGACAAAATTACAGCAATTTCTTAGAGATTTCCAGAATCTTTGATCTTGATAGAAATTAAGTGTCTTGATATTTGCAAGAAATAGATGTTGGATAAAAAGAAAAAAAGATATAGAAAAATGCTTAATATGTTGTAAGGAGGTTGAAAATGTCTTTATGATGAATAATTTTTTTTAATGTCTATCTGTGTATGTATGCATTTGCTCTTTGCTCTCTGTTAGTAGTCAGGGATTAATTTTTATTTCTTCTTTGTGCATGCACATATGTGCTTTTTTTTGTGGGGATGGACAGGGGTATGATTAATATATTCTTTTTTATTGGCTTGGAATTAAAAAGAAACAAAATGAAAAAACAGCTGCACAAAGAGAGGCAATAAAGAAGTGGGTTTAAAATGAGATGTTTGCATATTGTGCAAGAAAGCATAGAAGGCGAGTCTTTTAAAAGGGTAGCATTAAAACACTTAAAAAAAAGAAATGAAAAAGAATAGTAATGAACAGCACAAAATGGTGGACTCTTTGCTTGTGTTCTTTTTTTCACATTTGCTCCCAATCTGATTTACATGTTGATCGTTATGACGATTTGGGGTTCATTCAGAATATTCTTCATAATTTTCATTTAATTGAATGGAGAACACAGATTTATAAACTCCTCTTTCCTCCTTCCTTTCCTACTTTTTGCCATTCTTTTCACTCTCATTTTCTGTTTCATCTTGTGTTTCATCCTCTCTTATTGCTGTTTTTTAAACCTGTCTTTGCAGCTTGTTTTTTCTTTTCTTTTTGGTTTATCTCTCTTAGTGTCTTTATATACCTTGATTTTCTTGTTTCTTTTCTCTGTCTTTATCTCTCTCTCGCACCTTCTTCCCATTTTTTCTCATCTTTCTCTTTTTACCCAATCTATTTTGTTGGTTCACTTTCCTTTCCTGTTTCTAATTTTTTCCTTTTCTCATCGTACTTCTCTGACATTCAAACCCCTCTCTTGCGCATTCTCTTTCTCTTTTCCCACTCCCTTTTTATCATCTAATCTCTCTCTACTTCTGTTTTTGCATGCCCTTTTCTTTTAAAAGCTCATCATCTTTCCTCCCTATCTTCATATAATGGGTGTGAGGATTAGGGGATGGCAAAGAAACTCGTTTACATGTCAACTATTGATTCATGCTGTGAATTGAAAAGATCTTTATCCATTTTCTTTCTGCCAGATTTAACTATTCATAATGCCGAAATTTATTTCAAACAACAACAACAACAAATATCTCAGAGAAATAAAAACAGAAAAAAATCTGAAAGGTCTCCTTCCAACTGTTTTCATGAATAAAATCATGATCACTATCACAATTCATTCCTTTATTATTCAGTAGTTATAAAAAAAAGAAAAGAAGCTCATTGAATACTTAAACATTTTTGGTAGGGTGACATAAACATATACATTTTTTTTTTTTAAAACTTCATGTATTAAAAAAAAAAAAGATGGTAAACATGAGAGAGGGCGACTTAGAGTTGGATTGGATGAAGATGTTCCTCTAGGGTCTTAGGTGCCCCACCCGCACTCTCTCTCCTCATATCCAACGGGGGCATCAGAGTTTGTAATTAACACTAAATATCTCTTCCCCTTTTGGTCTTGCATCATTGACCTCCATCATACACATCCACTTCCTACTCTGCCTCATTTAACATCTCTCATTTTAATGCTCATATATTGTTTATTGTCATCCCCACCCCTGCCTTTTTATTCTCAGTTATCTGTTTTTGAAGGTCTTTGGTGTTAAGGATTGGTAAAGATGGGCAGTTTGACGGGTTTTTTTTTTCTTCTCCTTTATTTTGGTTTCTGTTTCATCAGGCCTCCCTTCTTTTGAGACTATGACTCTTTTATGTTTTTTAATAGGATGTTGTCAGTATCTGATTTTTATTTTCATTGATAAGTTTGTTCAATTACTTTCTTTTGTTTCTTTTTTTTAGTTTTTGTCTTAACAAACTGTGATATCATCAGCAAAATGCTTTAACAGATTCCCTAAGTCTATTTGGCTTTTATTTTTCATCCTTTAATTAGGTTGCTTGTGTGCTGGCTTGAATTGTCTGTTGTCCTTTCTAATCTGAAATTTGTTTGTATCTCAAAATAAACAGAGTAAAACTTTTTTGTATCAATTTTGTTTTTTAAAATGCAAATGTTATGTTCTTTGTAAATTTTTATAAGTAACAAAAAGAAAACTAAACTACACCAACTGTTATCATAAAATATACCATAATCTTGTGTGTATAAGATGCAGGTTTTTTTCATCCAAAATCATTTCCAAAAGTTTGCCGTGTCTTGTACTTTAGGTTAGAACACAATCCCATTTTTTCCAAGACTCAAAATGGATTTGTTTACTGGAGAGATAATATCTCTCTAATGGCATATTGCAATAAAGAGAAATAAATCTTTCAGAATATTTCTTTAAGTCCTGTACTTTTCTGGATTTCATTGAGTCTAGATGCCTATGTAAATTTGAAAATCATTCAAAGTTAAATATTGTTTAATTTACAATATGGTACATGTATTTGTCATAAAGAGAAAAGTCTATTTAATTTTTATGCACTGACAATGCAATGTCATTCTACTTGCTTGAGTCAATGGCAATAAAAAGAACACATACTTAACATCAGTAGGAGACAGCTGAAATTTTTGGGGCACATAATGATGAAAGAGGGCAAGGAAAATTTGATTCTCATAGGATAGATTGAATGTAAAAGAGACAAGGAAAAGTAATGCCCAACCTACCTGGTGAGCTTGAGTGAATGTATGACAGAGCAGGGTTTTGGAGAAATGAAAATAGCCAAATGTTATTAAGAAATGCAAAGGACAGGAAATTGTGGAGAACCATGATTGCCAATATCCTGAAGGGGCACAGCGCATAAAAGAAGCAGCAGCTTTATGAATTTTCAAGAAACTGGCTAATAGCTGAAATAAGCAATATTGTTTTTTTCCTGGATCAAATGAGCTATCAATCCATTGCTTAATATCTTAATCACTTATTGGAAACACATGATTGCAGGTTTTGCAATCATGTGTTTCCAATAAGTGATTGGATATATATAGTGATAAAATATCCATAATATTAGTACAGGAAGTATTTCAAGACAAATTTGTTTTTCCATTTGAGAACTGCAAAGATATGTTGAAAAGTTCTTCCTGACCAAGAAACTATTTAAAATAAAAAAAATAAAAAATAGAAGAATTTGATGATTGGTCAGATTTTTGGAAATGGTAAGGTCCAAGAACTTTTCAGTACCCACTTCACATGTAAGTTTTATGATCTTGTGGTATATCAGTTTTGCATACTACAACAGTTTATTAGTTTTTAAAACCATTCTATTTTTAACACAATTTCAGATTGTATTAAAGGTTGGTGTTTTTGCTTTGTTTTTTTTTCCTCTGTGGAATATCAAAGAATAGTTATAAAATATAATGATGATGGAGGAACACATCATTTTAAAATATTTTAGAAGTATCTGTAAAGGTACACATGGCATTCAAAAAAGAGTAAAGATAAAGTTAGTTCAAAAAGTGATTATTGCTATTTATAATAACATAATCAAGATGTTGACTACCAAAAACAAATGATTTAGAAGGAAACACTCCTATCAGAACTCAGAAAAAGCAATAACAGTGGACTTGAGAAGTCTACCTTCCTCCTGAAAAACTGTTTTAAGAAAATAGAAATGAACACTACTGCTAACTGTTTGGCCACTGAAAGATAAATGCTCCCTGGTTGGAAGCAACAAATTCTACCATTACTATTTGTTTGACTTTTTCAGATTTGAATATTATTTTTTTAATGGGTTTCATTCGCATATTAAATAAATACAAAACTAAATAATTTTCCGTAAAACCTTTTCTCGGGTTGGGAGGGTAAAAACATTTTGCATTTTATAGGTATTAGGTAAGTTAGCCTTTTAATATTTTCAATAAACCAGGTCCCCCCGCCCTTTTTTTTTTTCTGATCTAAAAAATAAAATTTTTCTTTTTTATTTAATCCAATATGAAATCAGTTGATTAAATTTAAGGAAGTGAGGTAGATAACATTGAAACTAAATAATGATTTTTAGTATTATGTAGAATTGATACATCCTATTTTATTTCTAATTTATAATGCCACTTGGGTACAGTGGGTTAAAGCTAAAAGATTCTTTTTTTTTTTTATAGGAATGAAGGCATCATTCTTCCTATAAATAAAATGTTTAGTGCTTATATTATTTATAACAAATTGACAGATTTTCATTTATTTTAGGGGTGGACGTAAATCCAGAGATAACACACCACAGGGTAAGAAGGTAAGTACATTTTATTATTTTTTGCTTATATGTTTATTTTATTGGAGAAGAAGGTAGTTATTTTTTTTCTGTTTTGATTTTTAACCGTGTATTTTTAAATATTGGTTTTAGATTGTAGTTCCGTATCATCTTGTCTGTGAGAAAATTAATTTTTCATTTGTTATGATAAAAATATTTATTTTTGTACTTCAGTGTCTTTGATCAGAAGAAAGAAAACTTTCTCATGAAAGCATTTATGATAGAATTGAATGTTTGATCCATTAAATCCTATTTAAAATAAATATGACCTAATTATCAGATAATGTTACATTTGAGCTGAACTTTAAAATGCTTCTTGGGTAAAATGGATTAAAACTAATTGAATCAAAGAAAGAGAGAAAAGAATGTGTGGCAAGTAGATGAAATAAAATAAAATATTTTAAAAGTTGAAAATGTTATTGTTGAAGTTATAGTATATAGTATATGTGTCAAATAAATGTTTTCAGGTAGACTTATATGTAGACCAGCTTAGATTCATTGTCTTTCTTGAAACTCAAAAAAAATATATATCCATAATAAAATGACTCTGATATGTTAAATTGAATAGTAATCATTAACTGAACATTTTTGTTATTTCAGTATCGAAGCATTTTATTAGATAATAAAACATTTAACGATAAATGCCAAAGCCTCCCTCCCCATTAAAAAAAAATGAAAAAGAAAATGGTCCAGCCCATCTTCGGGTGCTATTCTAATCCACAACCTGTTGCTTTTGTCTCTGTTTTTACTCCAATTGGCTAACATTGTTATATGTAACACAATACACAAGGCATAAGAAAGGCTGGCAGTTTTATGGTTGTAGCCTTGTAATTGTCCATTCAGTCAACTCCCCTGACCATGAGTCTGTATCAAATGTTTTGGTCACATGTTTTTGACAAATGGTGTTGATCACCAAATCCTTGGATTCCAGAATATTGTTCACTTGTACAACTCATACCATATGGATATCACAAGTTTTATAAAAAAAGTTTGTCTAAGAACAGATTGAAAGAAAGTAAGCTTGATTCTAGTTTGGTTTACCAGCCGAATATATAGAATAGAGCCTTTTGGCAACAACGATAAATGCACAAAGTAGAAAGTAAAAAAAACAAAAAAAACACAAGTTTTCCTTCTAAGTTAATAGATTAAAAGTCTCTCCATCTTTAGTGTATAGAATCAAATTCTAAACCTCTGTGTTTCCAACCCATTGCTGTAATGCACTAGTTGAGTTATTTATCTACATAGATATTAAGGTTATTGAGAACACTTCAGTGTGGATCATACTGAGACCACATTTGATTAGGAAATACCCTCTTTTATGTCTTTTATTTATTTATTTATTTTTTTTTTTTTAAGTTGCAACTTGTTTTTCTTTTGTTGTCATTATAGTATATATTGAGTGAGTTCTTAATTGCTATGCATACACACACTTATGTTGCTGAAATTTTTTTATATTTACGCAGGAAGAAGGCTTATTATTGGAGATAGTGTTTATAGGTATAGACAAAGTGGATAATGGAATCATCACTCATAGTGGCTGCAATCTTGATTGGAAGATCTTGTTTGAAAGGGTGAAACTGACATTCACCAGTGTTCATTCCTATGGTCATATTGTGTGTGTGTGTGTACATATATATTGATCTGATGAAATCTAGGAAGGTGTAATCAAATCAAGTTTCAATGAAACAGTTTTCCACAAAACATATATGCAAATATGTATATCAGACTAATAGTGGGTAATTGAATGAGAAAAAGGAAGACATTGCATTCCATGTAGCTAGATACAAACATTTAAAGAAAATTAAATTAAATTAGAAACTAAGTGTCCCTGTATCTTCAATGTTTGAGGATATAAAATTCTAATCATCAGGCCATATATATATATATATATATATATATATATATATATATATATATATACATATGCACAAACTTTGTGTATTTAGTGTGCATATGCATATATAACACAATACTATTGTTGATTTGTCTCAGATCAAAGATATACTATTCCTACTAAGTCTGTTGTTTGAACCCCAGGTTAAAGCTCTTACTGTAATTGGTGATATTTTTGGATAAGCAGACCCTTCCCTTCTCAGTTACCTCTAATATCTGACCTACACATGTACTAAGCTTAGTCAATAATATGGTGTATTAAGATTTAATAAATACTATTTGGGGAATGGATTTTGAACAATGCATGTCATTAACCTCACATTGAGAATAGAATGAAAGCTCATTGGCTATTACATTCAGTTTCTTGTGCCAGATATTCCTCTACTCTCTTGTACTACATGTCTGGATCTCTTGAAATTCGGTTGAACATAAGAACTACATGATTGTCAATTAATGCTGAGTAGATGACACTCTCCTTTTAACATTGCAGACTCTCCTGTGGGGTATAGAACCACAGCCTCACCATGTCAATCATTTCTGCTGTGGTTTCCATAGCAAGTTTTTTTTTTTTTTTTTTTTTTTTTACTTGTTGGAGTTGCTTACCTCATACCTGGCTGGTTTGGGATTCAGAGTTGTCCTTCTCCTAGATTACTCAATCTATCTTGCTATTAACCCCTAGTTGGAGAAGAAGAGATAGATTCATACACAGTTGATGTAGTATTATTAATGAAATAGAAGAATATCTTCAAATTTTTTAGTTGATGTAAAACTTTCATTGTTAATTTTCAAGAATAACACTAAATAACAAGAAGTACTTTATCACCACTGCAGCTATGGCTGCAGTAAATGAGGGACCTTTAAATGGTTACAGGACAAGCGCACACACACACACACACATTTTATAAGAATATCTTTTGAAACAATTTTTGATGCACAACTTGTATTGGGACATTGTTTTACCTAGATGATAAAAACTAAATTTATTTAATTAATTTATTAATAAATTCAATTAATTAATTTCTTTATTTTATTAATGATTTTAAGTTTTTTTTTTCTACTTAAGTACATTTCAACTACTCTTTTTTTTGGTAAAAAATTAATTTACTATTTCCATGAATTGACTTTGGTATCTTTGTGGAATTCTCTCTCTTCTACCTTTGTGTTATATCTCGTCTGAATGTTGGTGATCAATCCTCTCCACAGTTTCCTGTCCTTTGTCACTCTAAGCAATATCTGCCCTTTACTATCACTCCCAGTCCCTGCTCTGCCATCCATTTACTCAAGTTTGTTAGGTAGCTTACTCTGTTTCCCCCTACCATGCTTGCCTTCATTATGTTCTGCGGGTATTGAATTCTTCAAATCATCATTCCTTATTGTGTATCCCAGAAATTTCAACTGTCTATTTTTGATTCTAAGCACAAAAATTCTTTTTTTCCATTTTCTTAAAACTTCCTCATTACCACCAGTCTCTGTCTCTTATTCTCACCATCCTTCTGTAGAACCACATCTCTGTTGCCTCAATTCTCCTCTTCATCTGTGAAGAAATTGTCCAGCATTTACTACAATACAGAAGGATTGCTATCACATAGAAGTTCAGCTGTCTTTTCCTTTCGTTCCAACAAAATTTTCTTGTTTTTAATACTTTAATAATGTTTAGCTTTTTGTAAACTTAACCATTCTTTTTTTATTTTTTATAAAACAATGTATGTAATAAGTTTCAGTTGAATATCAACAATATTTCCATTCTTGTGACTTCACTGCTCCACAAATTCAAGTGGCTTGTTGGAAGTTAAGGGCAAAATGATTTTCTTGCAAATTTTATCAATAAAAATGTGCAAGATAATCACTTTTTATTTTTAGTCATTTTTATTTTTTAATATTAAAACTGTTAGCAATTTCTTAATACTTCATATATACTTTGATGTTATTTTGCAAATAATTTCTTTTCTTTTTTTTTTTTTTTTGTATAATTATTTTATGGTCTGGAGGAACCCAATTTTTTTCTATATCAAAATAGTTTTTGAAGATTTACTTTATTGAAAAAAAATTGATATTCTTCAAACTTGTAAAGTGACTTTATTATTCAACATGCTTTTTTCAGCTTGAAACATCAAAGCATCTTTTTGTTCTTACTTTTCAATTGCCGTCTATTCCATGAATTTTAGCTGAATCTTTTATGACTTTTTTCTTTTAATAGGAAAACCTCTTCTAAAAACAGATTTCAAATAAAAAGGTTAAAATATAATATTCTTCCTCAATCATCACATCTCTCCAAACCAAATATATAAAAACGAAATACTCTGATTAAATCACAATGAATTCATTAATGCCAATAAGAGGACAGTCTTGTTTTCAATAAACTATATTAATATTCATATAAGTATATTATATTCTTGACACCAAAAAATTTGGTGATAAAAATGGTTAACAATGAACTATTTATAGGATAACTGTTCCTCAGTAATCCACTTCTATTAATCTTTATTCTAAATCACAATTCAAATGACTAGTTTAATTCATTAAGACACTGACATATCATCAGTTGGCATTAGCAAGGCTTATTTATTTTTTTACATATTTGAACATAAAACAATGGTTATCATTGGTTAACAATTAGATGATTTCTTTTTTTTGTAGATCAATTGAAATTTGTAAAAGATAATAGTGCATGAAATCAGGTTTTCCTTCCTTTCTAGAGCTGTGGTATGAATTCATTTTCTCCTTGAATTTTAGATATATTGTTTCGGTTCTTTGAGTGTGCCTGTGGATCATGGTTAATGCGTCTTACCTATCTGACACCAGAGTTTGATGGTTCAGTACTCTTTCCCTATTCTTTTTTTTTCTTCAATATAGTCAATTGATATAATAGATGAGTTGTTGAGGCTGTAATCTTTTAAGCAATAGTTATTTTGAATTTATTTAGAGTATGTTCTAAAGAGTGCAAAGACTTAAAACTCAAACACTATATTCTTTTCTTGTTTATAAACTCTACATGAACAAGTATAAAAACAAATCTCTTTTCCTGAAGCACCACAATTGAACTTTTATCATTATAAAGCTAAAGCTTTAATTGTTGCTTGGCTACATAT